AGCGTGTGTGTGTGTGTGTGTGTGTGTGTGTGTGTGTGTGTGTGTGTGTGTGTGTGTGTGTGTGGATATACAGAATAATATACTCGAAGCGTATAATATACATGCCACATATAACTATCAGGAGCAATATAAGACGCCGCATGTATGCATTACATATTAAAACATTGGAAGAATATAACATAGTCCTCGTTCAGTACTACCTAACTTAAAGTGTTCTATCTATATACAATATATATTATTGTATATATAAAACATATATCAGGATTTAGGATACTAGTCTTTGGTGTGTGAAATAGGGGGAGTTGGAAAGAGGGGCTCCTTTCCATGCGAGCCTCATGTCTTCCACATGCTCAATTCAAAACTGTAAGACGGTAAATACTTCTTCTTTTTTTTTTTAATCAGTAACGTTTATGCATTAAAACATGCAGATGCAATCTTATCCGATTTTCCTCACGGAAGAAATGAGAGTTCCAATGTCAATTAACGACGAGTGGGAGATCGCATGGGCGTCAAGTTTAATCAAAGGCTTCAGGAATGGTGAGTTTTGTTGGCGTGATTTTTTTGCTATATATGCTTCTATAATATGTGCATTGTGAATTGGCAAACTTACCTGCCTTCGTGGAATTGTATTGCATTGTGAGACAAACTCCGTTAAGACGAATTCAGTGTTATTTTTTTTTTCTCTCTTCCAAACCAGAAGGAACGCGCTGGTCTAATCTGACGTAGACAACTTGACCTTCTGAAAGCAAAAAGAAGTGACCAAACGCCTTGAGGAGAGCCTACTCAGCAACAAGTCAGCTCTTTCTTGCTGTACCCAAGATGTCTGCATTGCCATCTTTAGTTGTGATCGGCGAAGAGAGCGTGGTGCACGAATGTCTTCGGCGCATCCTCGCTGCGCAATTTTCGCTGAAGGCCGTTTTCACTTCCAGCCCCGAGGTTGAGCAATGGTGTCAGGAGAAGAAGGTGTCTGTTTACGACAGGAATGAGGATATTGAGAAATGCGTGCAGGTAAAGAGGAATCTAACAAGTAAACACACTCAAGAAAGCTCTGGTGCACACACACACACACACACACACACACACACACACACACACACACACACAC